CCCTTGGTGCAGTCCTAGAGCCTCCGTGCAAGCGCGCTGCGAGCTCTGCGCTTTCCTCTCCTCGGCCGCCATGGCTGGCACAGCGTCTGACGTCTGACCTCTCACCTCTCACCCCTCACCCCGCTCTGCGGTGGGCCGCCAGGGGGCGCTGCGTGCGCGGCCGCTGGAGCCGAGGGGCGCTAGCGCGTTATCGCATCGTTTAAAAATATCTGCAGATTGTTATTTTTACTTTGCTGTTCTCCTCCCCAGCGTTTCTTTCTCACGGCCTGTTCTGTTTGCAGCCTGTCCTGTCAGAATAGCTCATGCTATTTTGGAGTCCACTACTGTCGCTACGAAAAACGACGACGGTGGTTTCCGCTGAATTTCGCAGTACAGTGCCTCGCTGAAGTCACGACAAGAAACTAGAACAGGTGTCACCCTTCAGTTATGTCCAAAACAACGCAATGAATTCGTAGCGACGTGAACAATGCATTCTGTTACAAGTCTGCAGTAAATCGAGAATATAATAATCTATTAGTTCACTAGTAAAACACCTCCATAAAATATTACCGAAGGAATTAAGACACTTTGACACATATTCTTCGGTAATCTTGCCTAGCAACACCCCTCGGACTGTGTAATGTGGAGATCGGCACGGCGGCCCGCCTCGAGCGGTGAGAGTCACGGAGGACCGGTCGGTAAACCGCACCCCACTTCTGCAGGCGCCTTGTGAACAAATACTAGTCCTTATGGTCATGAGACCGCAGATGCAGGCTTTGCATTGTGCAGTGAATTGAGCAACTCAGTTGATTTTTGTTTTGCAAAACGAATCCGGTAACCAGTAGATATGGGCGTGGGATCGTGCTAATCTCAGTTGTGTCCACCTGGAACTGGAGATACACCTGGAAACCCAGCCATGACACTCCTGTGAGCATGTGCAGGCAGATCCTATGCACACTTCCTATTACAACTCAGATTACATTAACACACAGCTCTATCAAACAGTGTATGTGGACACAGAGCTCCTATTAAAATGCAGTGTGTGTCTCTCTGGTGTGTGTGTGTGTGGAGTGGGACAGTGTGTATCTCTGACTCTGGCTCTGGTGTGTGTGTGGAGTGCGACAGTGTGTGTCTCCTTAGTGTGTGTGGAGTGCGACAGTGTGTATCTCTGGCTCTGGTGTGTCTCTGGTGTGTGTGTGGAGTGCGACAGTGTGTATCTCTGACTCTGGCTCTGGTGTGTGTGTCTCTGGTGCGTGTGTGGAGTGCGACAGTGTGTATCTCTGACTC